TCAGAGAATAGATGTGTGTCGAATAAAAATTTTATGGATTTTCGTGAAAGGTATTGCTGTGTGCCATACACGATTGCCTCTGATATTTTATTGTTTTTATCAGGCACCTGGTGCAACTTTTTTAGCGATATTAGGTTAAACGAGAGAAAAATGAAAAACTTTTTCCCTTGGTCGTCTATGAACTAAAGTTTTTCTTTGGACGGACTTTTAAACACTACAAAAATTAAACTAAACATTTTCTATTTAAATCTTTTGAGAAAATGTATGGCGTAACGAAATGAACATAAATTATACTAAAGTGTAAACATAAGTAATAACGGGGGCTTACGCCTTTATCAGTATAACACAAATACATTATGGAACAAAAAAAAACGTTTTTTTTTTCATGGCAATAAGTTTTTAATTCCACAAAATTGTCCAGATCGATTCGATATCGCATTAACTATTACAGGCTTGCTTAGTCATGCCTAATTAGTCTTAGTGCGTTTAAATAATCTTGTTGAAATCCTATAATATAGAATACCAATCTCTTCGTGTAAAATAAAGATAATCATTTCCGATTCCAGGATTTAAAAGTGACCTGTATTTTTAAAAATCATCTATCCAATGTTCTCAGCAATTATTTAGTAAATTTTGTGGCATATATTGATCTTGATACCTTAAGCGCCCCCCACGTAACTGCAGAGTTGTTATGTTTTAAAGAGGCATTGTTTATAAAACACCAAACATTTCAAAATTGACGTTGGCTTTATGTGATGTTTTAAACTGTTTACTTATGCTATAAACAAATTTTCTTTTAACCAAAACATGCTTTTTAACTACCCTGCCGTTATTGAATGCAGAGAGGAAGAATTATACGATAGCCCCGTTCTGAAATTCATCGCATACCTACAAAGTTAGCGATTCTATTTCTAACATAATAAACCGAATGTTCGTCATTATCGTTTTTTTATACATCATAAATTAAACGTTTTGAACGCCGTGTCAATAATTATGAACATAATAAATTTGTTCGCATAATGTGTCCTTGTACAGCGTATAATATGTAAATTATTATTGTGTCGCACACATAAATATTAAGCGTTCCAAAGATTGCAGACACCTTTTGGTGTAGTAATAATTATGTCGCAGAAGACAAGCCGTAGTTCGGTTATTTGAAACGCCGCGGGGGGTGCTAACCGTTAGAAAGTTTACATTTATTAATTCAACACGCCAAAACAATAGGGAAGGTAAAAAATATAATGAACAGAAAGGACACACGAGATTCGTTTTGAATTATTTTGACAGGTTATTATAAAACGCAAAAAAAGTCGTTTATTTGAATCGAGTAAATTTTTTTATGCGTAGTACTGCGGCCAACAACGATTTTATGTTAGCTAATTGTAATTTTACAGAATAAATTATCGTTTTCGTTACTACTCGTGGAAATCGAACGTCATAAACAGTGGTGAGGTGTTTGACTTCACTCGACCATTTCCCGTGGACTCGACCGTGCGATTAATGACGATATTAAATAATATAATAACAAATCACTAGTTGTCGAAAATTCAGCAAAAATGCAATTGCGTCTGTTATTTTCTACTAATTGAAGTACAATTAGTACGTGTCACTCACGCTGGACCGCGGTAATCATAACGTTTTTCTCGGTGCAAACATTTGATTGCAGGCAGTTTTTATCGACAAATAGTTTACTGACCGACCTCAAGTATTACGAGCGTTGGTTTCAAAAACGACAGCCGATAAAATAACAACAGTAATAGTGGTAATAATTGCTGTTATTGTTGAGTGTTTACAACACCGCCGACGCCGAGTGGGCTGCTGCGGCCCGGCCAGTCTTTAGCTACGCCGCCCGAACGACATTAATAACCTGACGGTAAGCGCTGTAAAACACGTGCAAAATGTATAAAAAGAGAACGCGCAAAACGACCGTGGAATTATATGATTTACAGACGTCGGTCGGCAATGGAAAAATCATTGTAATAATAGTAATAACGACGAAACGCGGCGTATGAGCTGCCAGACACGAAGCCGCAAAAGCACTCTCAGACATCTCATATACACGTGCAATTATTGTTACGATTATTACCGTAGGTGCTTGGACACGGTGTGCTGTGCCGACGGTAGTAATCTGCATGACTTTTTTTCAGTGAGTGCTTATGAGTTTTCTGCGAAACGCTACACTCTTGTGGACTGTACACGAACGCCGCACACTGACGTTTTTACAATCCGGTAGCTCGAACCGTGACGTGCCCGAACTTGGCTTAACGCATAAACACGGGGGTTAATAACGTTTCCATATTTTTTACGGTGTAATTGTATCGTTGTCGACGATATTGCTAACACGAGTAGCAGTACCAATCGTGCAGTAATTCCCGTCATACCGAATCAAGTGGATGACGGCTATCAGATTATATTCTCAACTGTGTAACGCGGCAATGAATACTGAAAATTACTTTTACGTTAGTTCATTCGTAGACATTTTAGGCTCCTTGTCAGTGTTGAAATCTTCAATACGGTCATCTTCGTGGTAACTTGCTAACGATTCCACACAAAACTATCACTTCACCCAATGTTTTCTCATCTCGTTTCTTCGAAATATTTTCCGTAAAAATAAACTAGTCTAGACACTTGAATTAGATCACATTCTTATGATAAGAAAATATATTTGTAGATTAAATTCTGAAATTTTGTCACTCTCGATTACTTCTTGAATCATGATATTCGAGTCCTTGTTGTTTTAATCGTTGTTACTTAATGTTTTTATTTATTAATATAATAAATTGTAATGTTCTTAATAATTAAAAATTACAACGTGACCTATTTAATTATTATGAGAGACTTTTGGTACAAATTGAAGAGAATTAAATCGTCAAATTGTTGGATTAATCATTGATTTTTCGACAAAAATATTATAAGTAAATAAATAACCAGTAATACAAGTTAACTTATCAAAAATAATATTATGATATAGTGTTACTTGCTACAATAATTGATTTATGTACCTTTTTATTTAATTTCAAAATTAATTTTGACCAAAAAATGTATACGTCATTATTTTTTTTCGGGCTCCTTAAATTTTAGTAATATTATTATAAGTATTACTCAAATAAATAAAATGTTTGACTTTGTTAATTGGAGATACCAATCATAGGATCACCATAACAAATTTTTTTATTCGTTTCATTGTTCTTTTCTCTACTAACTAATGATTTATACAATACATACAAAAACGAAATTCAGTTGAAAATAAATTTAATACTTTTATCCAAAATATTCAAGTAAGGCTTAAGTCAAAGTTGCGTAACTCAATTTTAATCATTTTTAGAAGTCATCATAAATTAAATAATTACGTTCAGGCTGTGTAATATTATCCATGACTTAAAATAAATAAATGAAGTTATATTAAATTAATAACGAATCGATTATTTTGAAAAACATGTTTATAAGTGCATATTATATAATAAGTAGGCGGTGAAGTGATATGATTTTTCAAATCATATTACACTCTGCAAATGTAATAAATTATTATAAATTTTCTTTCAATTTGATAAAGATAATAATTATTCTTCGTTTAATTTAAAGGTTGGCTAATTTTTAACTAAAATACGTAAAACATTATATTTTTTAGTTTCATATTTTCTTTATTAGCGAAATTGCTCATAGAAACAAATATTTACAGCGATATAAAACTGAATTTATAGTTTATTTTAAAATACATTAAATTTTCATCATTAATCTACATACAGAGTGATCCACGATGATTTAACAAATCTAATAACTTTTGTTTTACTAAATATTTTCTATAACTTTTTTTTAGCTTTGATGCGTTGCTCAGAAGCTATTAGTTTTACTCCTCTTCCACTGTGTCAATTATGCTCAACAGTACGTCAAAATATCACAAAACGTATCTAGTTGAATCAATCAATGCTATAATTTTGAAATATTTCTCTCAGCTCCGGTAATAAAGAAAAATATACCAAAAAATTATAATTACTATTAAAGTCATTGTTGGTATCTTAGCTTCGATGCGAAAGTAAAAAGATATTGGTCAAATCTAGTTGAACCTATTGTTACAAAAAATTAGAAATATCTCCCTTAATTTAAAAAATGTAGAAAAATATCTAAAAATTACATCCCCCCCAAAAAATGTAACTTTAAATTTTTTTTTGAGGCATATTAAAATTTTTAGAGTAAACTAGGGTAAAAATTTTGTTGTTATATATTGTGTACGTTTTATATCAGATCATTACTCGTGAAATAAAGTTCGAATCTTACTATTAATAATTAATTTGTATTGTTTGATAGATTGTCTAGCTAAAATAAAATAATAATTTTGTCTAACTACTTTATATCACAAGTTATATGCATTTAACGTTTAAAAAGGACTTTATTAGGAATTAAACTATAAAATTGCATAATTAAAAAAAATATTTGTCTATAGAATTTTAAATTTTGTAAAAATTGTAAAATTTTCATGTTTATTACGGTATCAAAAGTAAGTCTATCTAAATGAAAAAAAGATAAAAGTAAAGCATATTTTCGCATTAAGTATAGGTTAGAGTTATTAAGTTTTTTCAATGAAATTTATAATATAATAGTAGTGATTTTAAATAAAAACAAAAAATTGATAATTCGAAAATTTTATATAAAAACAATTATTAACATTCAATTTGTATTTAAAAATTTCCCGAATTTTATTAAGACATTAAATTTTATATAAATTTTATTTGTGATGTCTTTCTTTAGCTATTATGGAATAATGCTATAATGAAAAATTATTTATTAATTTACTCCCAAGTTAAAATTTTACACTGTAAAGTAACAATATTATATCGCTCTTGCAAAACAGGTATGAGACGATTTAATACAAACAAAATATGTGTTCATTTAAATTATTTTCGGAATATTTCTCATTGTTTGGTTAATATATTTAGAAATATTTCAGTAAAATGTTCTCAATTATTACTATATTTTATTAAATCCAAAAATATCATCTTGTCTGAAACGTCAACTTGCCCCGCATTTCGGTATTCATTTTTATCGTAGTTAAGATTTTAATATGTAAATTTCATAATCCTTAAGAACATTACATCAAATTCAATTTATACAATTGTCTAATTTTTTTTTTTTATATCAAACAAGTGTTCGTGATTTGTTGACCAATAATAAATAAAACAAATTTTTTAGAATATACAGTGTAATAAAATAGACAAAAGCTTTAGTGATTTTAAAAATTTTATTTCGTGAATAGCTCGTTATTATATATAACAAATTAATAGATTCGACCTAAAAATATGCGTTTTAAATTAATAACTATAATAATATTTACTATATTTCTTGTTTGTAACTCTAAAGTTTGCTGTACACTGATCAATGATTCATATGAATTTTACTTAATGGAAGTTATAAAACATCTTTTATCACAACCGGGGTGGAATTCAATTCAACATTTGAGCTTAATAATTGAAGATGACGAGAGAATTGACGTTAACAAACTTTTAAACGAAATGCAGAATTATGAGGTAGAAAAAATGGGTAGATACTCAGTTATACTCAATACTATGTTTAATTTCATATACTGCAGACATACGGAGATAATGCTAACGTTTGATCATTTGCTTAAAATTATCATAGCCAAGTGCAGTTCTGATGTTCAGGAACACAAAACTGAGGAGTTCATTTTTTGTGCAAAACAACTCCACCAAACGGTTATAGAATCATTGGAAATGTTCACAAAATTATGGGAAGTTACTTCATTTTTAGATTCCATAGCTTTAAATTCTCTAGAACCTAGTCTAATAAAAATGGTAGCAAATGAAGGCGAAATCGCCACAATAATAAAATACGTACAATTCAAAAATGAACAGCCGCGTCCGGTATTTATTGATCTCAACAATAAGATTAGTACCGATGTCGCTCTTGATGAGTATAAAGATATAAAACGGTTTCATGATAATACTCTTACACTAAAACTAAAAGATTTAATGACGAGAAATTCTTCATTATGTTTTAGTAATAATGACTTTGTGAGCAGTATTTTAGAATCTTTGTTCAAAATAAATATGACTAAGAGTCCTACGACTAATATAAATGGCGATATCCAAAATATCCAAGAATATCGATCTGTATTTTACCAACAAATTATAAAAAATGATTATTATAATTTTGGTTTTGAAAAATTGATTAACCCACAGCATAATAAGTAAGAAATTTGTAAGTCTTTTTTATCTTTTATAGGATTCTAAGTTTATTTTATTATTACATTTTTTTAAAAGGGGGAAGGTTGTTCTACTCAAATTTACTGACGTTTTACTCATAATAAAAAAGATCTTTAATTTGTTTTCAAATATGCTAATTTGAAAAAAATTGCTGGCTACAATAGTCTAGTAGACATTGCAATGAGGTGTTTCATTTCACTCCCCCTGATATCCGGTCTTAGAACAGGTTATATACTTCTTTAATTCTTAAATATTATTTTCATTGAAAAAAACCAAATATATTCATATCAGTGGCTGTTTATCAAAACTTGATGTGTCACTATTAACAATTTTTCAGGAATGTAAAATAAATTAAAACTTTTTAATGATGTCTATAGATATCTATATTTTTAAAGTGCAAAAGAATTGCCAATAAAACTAACTTATTTTTTATAATAGATAACTCTTCTAAATGAATTATAAAAAAAAATCTTTTAAACCCATTTTTGTGACATATCAGCTTTCAGATATGAGATATAAATATATTTATATATAATTAAACAAAAAACGATAGCACAGTAGAAACGCGGCTCAGTGTGAGCGTGGCATAGTTGGGATTAGTATAGATGATATCTGACAGTGATAAAAATCACTATCATAAAAAACGCTTCGATGCAAATCTGTAGATAGTGTGTAGTTTTATGAAATTGATGTATTACTTAAAAGCAAAATTCTAACTCAAAAAAAATTAAGGAAAAATTACAAAAATATTGAATTGGGTAATGATTTTTACTGAATCGACAAACGTTCATCGTACTCGTATTTTGATAAAATTGGCAATTTAAGTTGATTTAAATGTTAAAATTAATTTTTCGGTTTTAAAAAAAATTGAAATAAATTTAACTTTATAATCTATGTCAATTAGTTTTATATAATATTCATGAAAATCAGTGTACCCCATATTAAGGTATATTAAAATAAATTAAAATGCAATACCAAGAATATTAACACAAAAATAGGATATTTTTGAGTATGATAACCATGTTCACTATATCTCGAAAGTTTTTTTACAAAGTATAGTATATTACATAAGTTTTAATTTGAGATTAAATAAAAGTGTTAATATTTCCGGAAAATTTTCAAAAATTGAGTTGAAAAAGTTAAATTTTTTCCAGAAGTAGCTATTTTGAATGCTCCTTTTGGGCAGATAAAAGATCAAATTTTCAAAAAATTTATATAAAATGAAAGAAAAATATCTAAGGTTACAATATAAAAAAGAATTATTTTAAATTGTTAATATTCCAAAAAATTATGGCAGTTTTTAGAAATAAAAATGAAAAAAATGTCGAAATTTACTGATTTTAAAAATCGTAATATTTTGGTTGATTTTCACTATTTGCAGAGAAGGAGAGCAAAATTTTCTATTTTTAGGGTAATGTCTTCAATTGGATACGATTTGTGATCTTTTGACATATCGTTGTGCCAAATCGGTCCAGTGAGAGTTGATAAAAAGTAGTGTGAGACACAAAAAAAAATAACACATCATGGTAAAATTAATACCTTCTCAGCTTCGCATCGAAGTTAACTAAATGTATGATTTATTATCTAATTTAATTCTATTTAATTATATATTCTGATACATTATAATTAATACGATAGTGTATTATTGATTATTTATAATAATTAGTGATTAACGAAAAAATATTCTAAAGAGAATTTTCGGATATGTTCTTGAAAATATTCATTTGTAGATTATTACAGATGAATATATTCTTAAAATAATATATATTTTAAAATTATTTGATGCAATGAATACATCAATTATTTAATGAAAATTTACAATGGAAAAATAATCATCTATTATTTGGTTGATAGTCGCATGATATTAAAAACTTTGAAATAAAACATATTTGTTGTTCAAAGACTAAAAATAATATCAATTCATACAAATAAAGTTACCGTAAAGTTGGCCAATTTTGCCGGTAAGAATAAATTTGGCTACGTCTAAATATAGAGAAGCCCATCATTCACTGACAACTTTAATTACTTTGGATCCAGTTAATATTTTTTGTTAATTTTTTTTTAATATTTAATATACTTAAGGGCCATAATAATAATGTAATAAATATCATTTTTATAATTAAATAAAACATTATTATTTTAAAAATTTACGAGAAATCTTTAAAAAAATTTTAAATAGCCATTTTTTAAATAGATATAGAAGAAATAATTTATTGAAAAAATTTTTCATTGATGTTTTGTAGATAATTTTCTGTAACATTTTTAATTTTGTAAAAATTTGAATTTGTCTGTATTCATTTTACGGTATCAAACGCTAGCTATGTTTTATAAAAAAGGACAGATCTAAACACAATTTTTTCATACTAAAGATGATATGTGTATAGATTTATTCATGAAAATTGTTAATATTCTAATGACCGGCTTTAATTCAAACAAAAACACAAACAATACCTATTACTTAATTAGTACTTTTATCTCTTTAGAGATAAAACTACTTATTCTAACTAAAATTAGAATTTATTTATCATGAGTCAAGATTTATTTTATACTATGTATAAGGTCTATTATATTTACAAACTTAGTATACATAGAATGATAAGAATCACGATAAGACAATTATTACTAATCACTCTCATTCAAAACTTAAGTAATTTTCATTGAAAAACTTACACATCCCAAAATTATAGTAATCATGAAAAGATAGTGTTATCTTCTAATATTAGTTATTTATTAAAGATAACTAATATTTTTAATAAATTGTAAAGATATGAATTATTGAGATTATTATTTAAAAAAAAAAAAATCAGCTAAAAATATTAACTGGATCAAAAGTTATATATATTGTCATTGAGTGTTGGGCCTCTATAATCCTAAAGCCTTTTTAAGATCAGAAACATAAAATGACACAATTGATAAAATTTTATTCGAAAACTATCTCCTACTTTGTTTGATGGAATTATTTGATGCTAAATAGATACATTTGGAAGTAGCCAATTCTATACTTGATGTTCATTCAGGATCATTTTACAATAATGAAAAAATATAAGAAAAAAAGCTAATAAGAATATTCTCATTTTTTTAGAATATTTTTAAGAATATTAATATTTAATACTTTTTAAACGATTATTACGGTAATATTACATCATCACTATTGAATTAAATTGTTATAAACAATACAATAATTTTATGTTATTTTTATATTCTTATTTTATTATAGAGAACAAATTATCCCTTCTCCGGAATCTAGTTATATGTTCGGTGGAGTTGTTTTATTATTGACAAAACTTCTTAGTCATGCCGGTTGGAGAGAATGGAATCATATTCAAATAAAAAACTTAGATGTTTCAAATATTAACACCAGAAGACCTTTTTTAATTGGCTACGATAATGGCGTAAAAACACAGTCATTTGTATATTTACTAATTAAATGTAGATATGGAGAAATTCTCAAAAACTTTAAAGTGATTGTGACTACCATTATTAATGTAACAAAAAATAAAATTATTAAAAATAATTATTCTTTTATCGACGATGTGATCTCTATTCGTGATGCAGTAAAAAATTCTGGACAAATGTTAAGTCTTATGCTATTTGCTTTGAATATTATAAGAAATACATTACCACATCAATATAAACGCGAAAAAAAATTACAATTAGAAATACTTATAGAGAAAATAAAAATATTCATCAATGCGTTTGAAATGTACAATTATTCGGCAAGTGATTTCAATATGGAAGTAGCTCACCAATATTTAGAAAAATTATTTATATTTTTTAGAGCCGATGTTGATAAATTAATTTATGATATATTGAATAAAAATTACAGATTTGGCTGTGTTATAAACAAAAAATATCTAACAACTTACAATTTATTAGAAAATTTCAATTATTCTTTGGATTTAAATTCTAGTAATTATAATTCAGCGGAAAACATTGTTCTTCAGTTGTGCCAATATTTAAACACATTTTGTAATAACGTAATACAAAAAGATTTTATAGATCTAGGTTTTAATAAATTTTTATTGCATCCACAACAATATCTAATTGTTAACACAATATTTTAACTTTGTTGTTTTGTATAGCTATAATAAAATAATATTATTTCTTTGAATAAGTATAGTGAGTACTAAAATTTGATAATTTAATATGCTAATAGAATTTTAGCATTACTGCCATATTATGAATATTACATTGAAATAAATTTTTCATTAGATTAAAAAAAATTTACTGTGTAACTTTGTAATTAAAGCAAAATATTTTTCGATAGTACAGTTTCGTTTGTTAATTTAAAGACAAACATAATAATAATAAAATCCAAACCAGCTCAGTGGGATCGCGGCACAAACGGGAAGCAGCAAAGTCGGGACAAGTATTGATGATATCTGACAGTGACTCTCATCACTGTCATAAAAAACGTTTCGACGGGAATCTGTTAAATTTCATAATTTCATAGTTTATATATTTTTAATTTTATTATTTCTACAATTTTAAATTTCATTCGAATATTAGATGCATTGTTGAAAAAATGTTATGTTTCTGATTTGATGGATGATTTCATATAGTAAATCAATTTTCGGGACAAAATTTGTTTTTTAATATTGTAGTTCACTTTAAAATCTTTAATTTGACGTAAGTTAGATGTTTTCAGACTTGCTGTAACATTTTCAAAAATCATATCAAATGAAATCTGAATGTCGCTATTGTACTTTATTAAATATCATTTGAATCGGTGTTTTAAAAAAAAAGTTATACCAAATTTAAAATTAAAAAAAATACTAAATTCAAGCTCCAAAAACTAATTATTTGTATTTTATTTGTTATTCTATAAAATCATATTTTATAATTTAATAAATTTGAAATAATAAATGTTAATTTATATTTATACATGTAAAAATATATAATATTAACATTATATTTATAATGAAAATGTGTATTTTAACCTTAAATGATATATAATTTGTGGTTTTGTCTAGAAATTTGCAAAATGACAATGAATTATTATTTTATTTTTCCAGGAAATGTAAATAACGTTAACTTGAAACCAATTAATGTCAATACTTCAGAGCATGATTAAGTGTATGAGTTTTGAAAAAATATGATCATAAATAATAAGTAGAATGATCAAGATGCATTTTTAACCGACAACCGTTTGAAAACCTTAACAATTCCATGAGTTCATTTTGAACAACATTAAATAATACTAAGTTCTTGAGCATTACAAATTATCAAACAACGTGTAGTTTTGACCATAAGCATTCACGGTTTATTGTGTGTAGGCTATAAAAAGAGCAAAGAATGTAAGAGAGACACATAATGATATTGAGTACCCTAAATGAGTTCTATAGGTGTTGAAAAATAGTAGCCGTGTTGCTTATGTATGTGCAGTAATCTGCTATAGCATACATAGATGCACAGTAATAATAATAATAATTATATGAGTATAACAGATGTTCTGATAGTATTTTACAACTAGTATTTGGTAAAAGTGACCTCCGAAAAATGTCTAAACCAGTAAGCTAATATCTAAATACCATTACTCTTTTTCTTATTTTCACTGTCATCATACTTTTTTAATGTTATAACTTCGACACTAAAAAATGATATTGAAATAAAACCATTCAATAATTAATCGCATTGATAAAAAGAGACCTGAATATTAATATTCTTAATTATACAATGTTTATTTATTGAATATTTATTTTTCACATCATAAAAAACTAGCGATTTTTTAATTGTATTACTACACCTATGATAATAGTTTTAAATAATCATATTTTCTTCGCTAATTTGTATTCAAGTCTCGCTTAAATGTTTATAATATAAATCTATTTTATATGTGATAAGTTTTTCAACTTATGTTAATAAAATAATATGATAGAATTATGCTTGTATTATAATGTCTTTATGAATTGTTCGTTGAAGAAACTTTTCAAACTTTTATAAAATTACAACTACAAAAAAATTTCTGGTAATCTATATCTATCAAATTTGCATGCAAAGTGCAATGTTAAAATAGAATATCTTTAAGAAATAAAAAAACGTTGATAACCGTTTAGTTTCTACCACCTTAAAGTGACAATGAACAATAAGTTACTCGATGATAATTTTATTTAACACCTTGGAAAAAATTAGCAACAGTTGTAAAATGTACATTGTTGTAAACGAATAGAAAAAAGGCATGAAAATATTAGTGTCATTATCATTGTTAGCACCATTATAATAAATATTATATTACCATCAAATAAACACTTAGAAATTCAAGGATGTATCAAAATGTTCATTCAGCAGTACCCTTGAAAGCCGAATAATAATTACACACTAAAACGGAACAATTATATAACTGGCGAGCATAAAAAATTATAGTAGTTATTATGATTTATAAAACAGTAGAAAGAAATCAATCGCAGAGATATCGCTGTCAAATTAATGATTTTTTTTTTTTAAATAGCGCTTGGAACTATCTAACGTTAAAAATCATGAAATATTCATAAATGGCATGTGATTTGTGCACAGATAACAAATAATAGGATTTCGTTGAAATAAATGTCATTTTGATGAAAAACAGTTTTTCAAAGCTCTGTACCAAATAATTAAGTACATACATGCGAATGTATTTTGCTGCTGAATATAACAATATTTTTAATTAGACATATAAATTTGCATTGGAACATGCGGCAAACTAGTACTGTCGTTATTTTACAGCAATAAAGTTTGAAAAACACTAAAACAACGTATTTTATAGATATGCTGAACATTAATTTCCTGTGTGACCAAAAAGTAATTATTATCGAGGCGAACGTATGTATGCGTTCATAGAGCTAGATGATAACATTATGGATATTAGCCGGGCGTTTACGTATCTGTCCATAGAAACCCAAGGGAGACGTTTTCAAATAGGAATACTAAAACCTAGGCCGCTGACGATAATTATTTATCCCCTGATAGTTGCAGTGGTCGAAAGCAATTAGTTTGCAACGAACAAACGTATTCAATTAGTACACCGGTTCATGGGGGCAGCTGCATTGTGAAGTTTAAAAAAATAATAACAATTTATCTTTTATACGTCTAAATATTTTATTATTTTAAAGGAAAATAAGGATCTCTTTGAAAATGGAAAAGAATGTTTCAACACGGTATTTTACATATTAAAACAATTAAAATCACATGCTATAATTACTATTTTTATTTTCTCATTGAAATGACATTATCTAATCCAAGTTAATCAACTATATTCATTACAGAAAAAAAAAAATTTAAAACCTCAAGAAAATGACTATAAAAATTGTGATGACTCTTTCAATCAAGAATGAAGAACTGTCAATAAGTCAGTACTGACATTATAAATCCTTTGAATTAAATCTCTTTNAAGTCAGTACTGACATTATAAATCCTTTGAATTAAATCTCTTTTATTAAACGATTTATAAAAGCTCTTACCATTTAGATGAAACGTTTTCTACAACACGATCGACTGGAGTGCTTACAATTGTGTAATCATGACCAATCCCATAAAAACCTCGCAGACTAAGTAATAATATGATTGTATAAAAATTATGTTGTTAGATTGAGTAGGATAAACATTTTCCACTGCTGTTACCATTTAATGTAATTAAGCATTTTATGTACATTAAAAAATTGAATTTGCTGTTTTTTATAAAAGGTTGCTATTAGTATGGAAAACGTGTAATTGGTAAAGCTGTATATCCTTACATATGTTGTAGTCAGTTCATAAGCCGGCACACGTACATACATATGTATTGTGTCTAGTGACACTTACGTTCCCCCATAAAGGTATTTAGAGAAGGATAGTTGGTTTTTAATCACTTTATTCGTGTCAGGATTGGCTATTAGGAATTCATTTTTTTTACGCAAAAAGGTTTACAATTGAACAGGACAATATGATCAAACACACGATGAGCAATTAAAAACACGGAAAAAATTTAATTCCGTTCGGTTTTTAATGACTAACATTTTTTTCCATTTATTATTTTTTTAATAATATTCTTTTTGCCGCCGTCGTGTTTAAATATTTCAATTCATTTTTCTATGTGACTTGTCTGAAAGGTTAATCCCATTCAAAACAACGTTATTGCATTAAAATTTTCATACACCGACTTTTTTTCCAATAAAAAGAAGGATAATCCCTTACTTTGTCCATTGAAACGATATTTATTTTACCAATTCTCCCTATAAAACAACATAATGTTATACCTAATGGGTTTGAACGTGAAAAAA